CCCGGGAAAACAGTCCTCAAGCGGGGAGCGCAAAGCCAAGAAAGAATCGAAGGATAAAGACAAATGTGTTATTTTGTAACATACAGTGTGTCTCTGTGAGTGAGTGTGTGTGTGTGTGTGTGTGTTTTGTGCATTTGCTTATCTGTGAGGAAGCGGACAGCATTTGTTTCTCCATGGACTGGACACACAACGCCCAGTCCCCACTTGATGACAAACAAGGTAAGGAGACGTTTTGAGGAGAGACGCAAAAAGACTAACAGAGGATTTGCTGTTCCCAAACCACTGGTGCCTGCTATCCTCTTTCCTCTTTCCTCAGTGGAACCTGGACATCAGAGGAAGGGACACACTACCATGACAACTGCAGCTTATCTTTCATAGTGTCGGCCAAACTTTGTTACAAGTTGCACAGTGCACTGTATTTGGGATGTGGGGTTTATTTGGGGTGGTGTATTTTATAGCAAAAGACATAATCTGAAGAAACAAAATGTCACCCTCTCACCATGTTCTTTTCCAAAAAAAAACCATTCATTTGTCATTACTGAAGCTCATCAGCTTTTTGGTACGTATCAACATTTACAAAACGTATATAGACAGACCCATGGGTTTTTTTTTTTTAAGTTGATGCCAAGATTCACATTTTATTTATGTAAACTATGTATGAGGTAGCTTTTTGGTGAGTTTTTTTTCTTCTGTAAACTGAGATGGATTTGCTCATAATATTGCGTGTAGGAAATCAGTTTAACACTATTTGTGTCCCTTCCAAAACACTATGTACCTAAGGGTTAATTAATGCCAGATAGCTGCCAGTTACTGTAGCTATGGAACAATACTCATCACAGCTTGCCCTGTTCAGATTTGCCTTACCAGAGTATGGTGGTGTTGTATTCTGCTCTGTTTGAATGTGAATGTGTGTTTGTTTTCATGTGTGTGGTATGTACTGTACACGTGTGGTATAAATTGGTGTGTTGTATACATGTCGCATTTACTGAGCATTTGGAAATAGTCAAATCTTTTGTGCTACACATTCGTCTAGTCTTTAATGTTGAGGTTGTACTTCACAAAAGCTGTGTTTGCGACAGTCAAACTGAGAATAACGTTGCAGGATTTTTTTGTCTGAATCGGAAGTTGTTTCTGTGTGAGACACGACTATCTTTTAGCAGATTAGATTTGTAGTAGATCACACCCGGTTTAGAGTGTATGGCAGTTCTGAAAGGCACTTTCTTTCTCAGTCTCTTCTTGCAGCTTTCTGAAAAGCTGCAGTGTGTGTGTGTGTGTGTGTGTGTGTGTGTGTGTGTGTGTGTG